CTGACCGTTGACATTTACGCGCAAGTCTGTGGCTAGTGTCGGCTGTCTCGTATATGTATTAACCCCCCACTGGCTACACTCGCAGTAACTTTAACGACATTAACCGAGCCAAAAGTCATGCTAAAAAACTGCAGGTGCCAGCAGGGCGCAGCCATTTCTCTTTCCCCTTGTTGTCAGTTTGCTCTGCTGGCAAAGCGATAAACTCGGTGGGGCGCTGGCACAATATCTTCATCCTCCAAGGCACTTCCATCGTGTTTTCGGGTTGCCTTCAGAAATTCCAGAAGTGTTGTTAAAGGTCTGTGTTATCCTACTGAAATTTCTTTAGATTGCTGTTGTCATAATACTTTTAAATCTTCCCAGATCAAAGAGATTACAAGATGCTTGATTGACGGGTTTTGTTTAATATGTCATGTTTGTATGCCCTAGCATCTAGGTTTACGATCTTATTTAAATGTTATTATTAAGTCCAAGAAACCTAGTAACATTATGATAGTCATACCAAAAAAAAAAAAAAAAACGGCTACATCAGAGAAATACCATCTCTGAGTGTGAGTCAAGTGACCATTGTATGAAGCATGCAAAATTCGGAACACCTCCCCCCCAAAAACAAGAAAAAAACTTTTTGCAAGTATAATCTTATTATTTCTAACAATTAATAGCCTTAATACCCCCTTTCAATTACTCACATTTTACAGTGAAACAACCTATATTTTACGGTTCCAAACACTAAAGATGGTCATATTGGATAGTATAATTAGTGCTACTCTGCTAGTGTTTAATTTATGTTCCCAGAAATATTATCTGCTTTTAAAGGTAGAAACCATAAGAAGCTTTACGATATTTATTACCGGAATGTACGCTATGTCACTGCTATTGTTCTCAGTAAGTGAAAAGGATTAGATTTATTAAATTACGGTGAAGCGACTAAAATTATTTGAATAAGGGAAGAAATGCCTTCGTGGAGGGTTTTCTGAGGTACATTGGCAACTTATCAGTTTACACTTATTTTTCCCCCCAATGGCGTACACTTGCCTATGCCGGCATCGGCCATTCCGAAGGCGGCGGTTGCTTTATTACGGTGGCACCTAATAGGTGGCCCACCATTGCCTCATACGAAAGGACAGCCAATTTTTACACCCATGCTTTCTTCGGGATTTGAACCCGGGCCCTTTGGCATCGCAGTCAGGCTCTACTAACCACTATACCGTCTAGGCGGCGTTTATACTTAGTAAAAACCACTAAAATGCTCATGTAGAAAGCCCGTTCCGCAGGATTTGAACTCGGATCGAACTGCCGGTATTCAGCTGTATTATTCGTCACTGGCCCCAGTAGGCGAAATTAATATTACAGATTTGAAAGATATATGACCACCTGATTATATGGAAAGCCTCGTGTCATTTCGTTTTATTTCTGATTTATACTCGGATGACTGATTGAGTTTTTGCTTATTTGATATCTTTCCGAGTATATTAATTCAATGAGAATTTTTGTTATCAAACAATTAATCTTCATTAAAATATATTCTTTCGGAAGATACGCTTTCTTCCGCGTGTTTATATTCTAAAATATTTTCCAAAGGTGGTTCATTTAAAACTCTTCAAACGATTTCATTTTCTGTGCTATATCTGCTGGATTATTACTATTATTTTTCCCTAACAATTATTTTATGTTTTTGATCTTTACTACCATTCTCGTTTCCGTTTCTCTACAAGAATGTAAATGAGGTAGAAGGAGACTGTATTTTTTTTTTTTTTTTTTTTTTTTTTTTTTTTTTTTAAAGGAAGGTTTCGGGAGTTTAATTCAGAGTTTGTTTTACCTCTCGAGGCCACGTTACTAGGTTAAGCTAACTCAGATAAAATTGTATTACTCGGCTTTGCATTATAGTTGCCGATATTTAAATTTTTACGTCAGTAAGAAGTTTTGAGACAACTTCGCGTTAAATCCTTTGTGTAGCCTTTGACTTGGTCTTAAATATTAAATTTGAATTTACTATTTCTTAAAGTTACATGACACAACTGATTGGCTAATTTGTAAGCACAAATCGTGCATTTATGTTATTAAGCATAAAAAGATTTGTTTAAATTTTATCAAGTTTATGTTGTTAACTTAGACGCAAATATAATTCGTTCCTAGTCTGTTAGGAGTTTGTACTTAGGTTATGCTATCAAAGCAAGCTCAATTTTATAGTACATTTATTAGGTATTTCTCCCACTTCCCTAGCGTCCTTCGTAGTGTAGTGGTTCTGCATGCTAGGCTGGTGTTCCAGAGGTCCATGGTTCGATTCCCGGCGAAGGCGGTTGCATATTTTTTATCTTTTCTGCTTCCAGTCAACCTAATGACTCTACACATTTACTAAATATAAAAAACAGATGGAAGAGAAATCCCAAAGTGTACTCAAAAATCTATGTTCTGAACTGTCTTACTGCGGACCTTGAAAATTCCTTAAAACACATCTATTGAAAGCATGAATATTAAACATATTTCTGATCCCACAAAAGGGTCTTCATTGATCATAAGTGAGTGTCACTAACAAGATTCATGTCCATTATATTTATAAAATGGAGAAATATTTATATTTATTGCGAATTCTAACTTTGAACTGAAAACAAAAATTAAAAAAATCTGAAAGCATCCAGATTTTACATTACGCCCAGAGGGCGGTTTTTTTAACGTGTCGTGTGTTACCATTATTTATTAAATATCATGTCCTTCGCACTTAAACCATAAAATTCAATTCAACAGCAGTATGGTAAAATAATTTTAAAATAAGCATATCTTTTGAATTTCCGATACACAGTCTCGCGCACTGGAGATAATTTTTTTTCGTAGAGTATTGCCATTGGTAGCTTTGAAATCGTTAAGTTTGTTAATCAAAAATTCGTTATTAAAGTTTTACAAAATATGAAATAGATAATGAAGCAAATTCCAAATTTGGGCTCCCAGATGCCCATATTCGGAATTGAATAGTGCAAAGAGCATAATATTTAATAAATAAAGGTAACACAGAAAACGTTAAAAAAGTTCCTTTGCGCGTAATATAAAATCTGAAAGCTTTCAGATTTTATTTATTTATTTATTTATTTTTTTTTATTTTTTTTCCATTGAGTATAAAAAGTAATACTTTTTACTTCGTTATTACGGCATCGGTGACGAAGTTTGTTATTCGCAGAATGAAAGTCAAAATAAAATGTGTTGGGCTTTTAGATGAGTAGAAATAAATTTCATTATTTCGTTTTAACAATATGAGAAAAAGAATTCTGAGATATAAAAGAACTTTTTTGGGGGGTATGATTTTTATTGAATTAAAGCATAATAAAAAATTAATATATGAACTAATAAGTAAAACTCCCTCATTTGCAGTATAGGCTCCAAACTTCATAGCTTCGAGAAGAACTATAAAACTATACTTACTTTGTTGAGACTTCTGTCATCTCCAAAAAGGTAAATGTTCAGGGGAAAAAAAAAAAAAAAAAAGGGAAAAAGAATCATTTTGTTCACTGTATGTAGGAAAAAAAAAAACAGTATTTCGTTTTATTTTCACACATGAAAATAAATCTATTTTATATTATTTTAGATAACTAAAAAATAAGGTATAAAAAATTACTGATACATCTTTATGAAAGGGATTAACTATAAAAAAATCTGAAAGGTTTCAGATTTTAAATTACGTCCAAAGGGGCTTTTTTTTAACGTTTTGTGTGTTACCTTTCTTTATTAAATATCATGTTCCTTTGCACTTAAACCATAAGATTCAGTTCAAGAGCAATATCGCAAAATAATTTTAAAAATGAACAAATCTTTAGAATTTCCGATACACAGACTCACGCGCTGGATAAGAATTTTTTTTTTTTTTTTTTTTTTTTTCCCAAGTGTTGCCATTGCTCGCTTTGAAATCCTTGAGTTTGTTAATCAAAAATTCGTCAAAGTTTTAAGTAAATATGGAAATCGATCATAAAACAAATTTCCAAATTTCAAATTTGGTCTTCCACATGCCTATATTCGTAGAAGGATTACATCATTCAAAATTCGATAGCTCTGTGCACCTTTTTTTAACACAATGCGGAAAATATGCATACATTTGTGCAGATTTTTCATTATTTAATTTCTTCAAATATAATGGAGGACTCTAACGTTTGGAGGCAACAGTTTAAAAAGTGAAACGGACATTTATAGCGATTCAACGCAAATCACAAAACGAAAACAATAGTCCTTCAGACAAAGATCCTTTGAACTAATAAATATTATTCAATTTATCACTTTAGCCACTTAGTTTTGCCTTTTTCGATTTTAAACAAAAAAATAATTTCGATAAACAACATTTAAATTTCGATGAATAAGACTTAAAATTTGTATCCCGAATTAATTAATTTGATTTTGATTTGAGGAGTCTTTAGAAAAATTACATGGAATCTCAGAATTCCGTAGAACACAACTTGAAGACTACTGCGTTAGAGTAACTATGTATTTTCCGCTTACAGAAAAACGCCCGATTATCCACATAGAGTATGGTTTCGGTCAATCTGGATATTTGGTAATCTAACTTCGATATAATTAAATTATATCTAGAAAACGATATAATTTAATTTACCTTTCATTAAACGACATTCTATTACCATTCTTTCACTCCTGTGGTGAAAACATTCAGTAAACCCAGATTAAACTAAAAAAAAAAAAAAAAAGAGAGAGAGAGAGAGATAAATAAATAAAGAAAAGAATATACACAATAATAAAGCGATCGCGTGCCGCTTTAGATAAAAGAGGCGAGCATCTCTTCGCCAAAAAGAGGTGCTGTAACACTAGCTTTCCCCTTCGAGTCAGACTGCCCCCTCCCCTTCTGATGACCAATCAGCGGAAGATGACTCCAGGCAATGTGAACTCGAAGTTGCCCGGCCCCTCTACCGAAGGTGGATTCTTTACCCACTTGTATCACCGGTCCACAGCGGAGGTTTCAGTATGAGTTTCGGAGTTAAACGAGGAACACACGCACGTGGTCCGTTCAAAAAGGGATGGATTGTCCTTCTTTGGTGGAAACGATTGCGTCACGACACTCCTTCCCTTTGGCGTGTACAATAATCACTCTCTTCAGTTTCCACTTTCCATCCTACATCGTAGAAAGAGTTGTCTGCCCTTTTCCTGCTTCCTCCAAGGAGAGTATATCGCCGGAAGTTTAGGCAGTCTATATTATTGGTTTATATTTTGTGATACTTTAAGCGAGATTTGAATAAGTCTGCTTGATACTTTGCGAGAACTTAGTCATTTGCATTAGATAGGAAATAGCCATAGCTTACCACTAATGATTCTTTTTTATGTGTATTTTTCTTAAATTCTAATGAGTTTTAAATACGGGACATGTGAAAATAAATGGCTAACTCTATCAAGAAAATATGCTTCTGTTTCATACGATCCATGGATATTACTTGCACTTAGAAGGTAGTTTATTAACTTTGAGTAGAAATTAAATATTTCTATAGGATGCGTTTATTTTTTGAATCATTCTCAACTAATATAGTAGTGGAATATACAGTTAAATATAGAATTTGTTTATTTTTGTAGAAGAATGAATATTTATCCAGAAATATTCGAAGATCTAACATTTCAAATAAAGAAACGTTTTGGAACAATCCAACTTATCTGAATTTCAGTTAAGAAAATAACTTTATGCATGAAGTTCATAAATTATCCATGGATGTTCTGGAGTTAAGATAAATCAGTCTTCTAAACCATTCTTTTATTGCCACTGAAATATTTGGTCTTTTAGTGATTAACAGCTTGGAAGTCTTCTGTTTTGAGAATAATAAACAATTTTTTATAGTTATATTAAAATAAATTATCAAACCAATAAGATAATTTAATGTAAACGCGTAATAATTCATGCAAAGGAGTATTTCTAATTTACATATTCAAAAGCTCGATATTTTTGCAGGATGAGATATACATTTGTTTGAATCTGATGGCAATAAAACACGTGGACTTCGCACAAGAAGCTTTCAGTGCTTTATACCAAAAACTGGAAAATTTTCAAGAATATTTATGATGATACTTTTCTAATTTAATGAATCAAAGTTAGAGTTAATTTTATGGATAAAAATTGACATTTTGAGAATTAAATGTGGACACTGGATACTTCGATAACCAACCTCGACATACTAAATACCATTATGGGTAGCTCATGAGTATACCAGCATGTTATATTATTCTATAATCAGCTTTCTAATTGGAGATGAAATATTTTGAATCCTCGGTCAAACGTAAGTACTTTGCCTTATTATGTAGAAATTAATATTTTCTGTGTTACATTTTGTTACATTAAATAATTTTATGAAGTAATTATTTACATTCAGTACTAACTTATGTAAAATAAGTTGCATTCGTACGTGAAGCGTGGTAAGCCATAGTATTTTATGTTCGGAAAAAAATTGCTTTTTATTTTCAAGCATAAATTAGCATTTTTATCAAAAAGATATATTTATTATTAATATATTGTTACAGTTTTCATTATCGTTCGTTTAAAACAAACGGCGTTTATTAATTTCTATAACGAATAAATTTAATTCTTGTATTGAAATGTTCATATAACAGTTACAAAGATTACAAAACACTATATATCATTGAAGGTTACAAAACATTATATATCATTATGATAAATAGAAGTTAAAAAATTCTGAAAGGCCATAATAAAAAGTTTTGCATTTCTTAATATTAGTTTGTATGCTGTAGTACAATAATATATTTGGTCCTTTATTTTATTTTATTTATTTATTTATTGAAAAATATATGGTTTTTGAAAGCATACGTTTATGTGATTGTTTCGGTACATATACCGAACGGGAAAAAATTACCTCTAAGATTTCTAAAATATTCATCATAATACGATCTGTCATTCAATAGCATAGGTATTGTAACTTTGTTATAATATGTATCTTAAAAATTTAAGGGGGGGAGGTGTCTTTAGTTTGGCGTACATCTTGAATAATACCCTGTTGATTTTTACAGTAATCAGATATACATTTCTTTTCTTCAAGAGAAAAAAAATTTTGGTCTGTAAATCGATAGAATGTTAAAATCTACGCCAATCTAAGATTTTTTTTTTGGTTTAATTTTGAATTTTATATTGGTGTGATGCTCTTTCAGTTATACATGTATAACCGTTTAATCCCGCTTAACTTGAAAGCTGCATAGAATGACACTGTCATGCAATGTTAAACTTCACAGTTTTTGCATTAACAAAAATTCGTAGTAGTTTCTAAAACATTTTATTTGATTAAATGCAATTTATGGAATTTGTGAGTAATTCAAAAAGAGAACAAAAAGAAAATATTTAAACGCAAAACTTAAGTGTCTCCCTTTACGTCCTTAATATTTTAAGCTTGCTAAGTTAAATGTTTAAAGCCTATATTCATATTCGCTATATTCGCTTTCCATTTACAAAAGTATGATAAAAAATACCACCTTATAATTTGTATCATAAGTATTTACTTCTAAGCAGCTCATGGGCATAGGCACAAACTGATTTTGGCTTAAGTGCACGAACGAATTTTAGTTCCACCATTCATTACCCAGCATAATGCGGAACATCTCCATACACATATACATAAATTATTTGTAGTAATAACTTCATATATTAAATGTTTTTCGAGAACTTTTTGCGTTGAGAATTTTCTACATCACCCAGGTAGAAACATAACTGTATTTTTCTTTAACTCAGATAATATTAATTAATATATGCTCGAAAATTGCAATAAAAGTTTTCTTTTACAGGTTATTCGTTAAATTAAAAGCTACATAAAATAAATTTCTGAATTTAGTAAGATACATTTACGGGTAGCATAATTCACTCAGCTGTTAATTCACACAAATGTAGAAGATATTGTTACGAATTTGGTATTTAAAAAGCTAATGTTAGTTCAATTATAAATTAAATCGTTTTATTTCTCGCGCAGTGCAGCGCGTGACGAATATTAAAAGAAAACTACTGTGAGATATTGTAATACTGCATGATAATTTGAGAAAATTTAAGCATTTTTTTTTGTTGTGATAATAATAAATTTTTGTTCATTTTTCATCGGACTTGTGCATTCATTTCATAACGAACCCGTACGCACGCAACAATTTTTGGTGTCAGAAGTGGGATTTGAATGCCAATAACAAGAGCGATGGAAGAGCAATTAAACAGCTGATATCAGCCTTTGCCTCGTTTAAAAAGAAGAAATGAAAAGAAGAGATGGAAATGTAATCAGGAAAAGATTGAAGCATGAGAAAGAATTGGAGCAAGAAAAGAATGAAAGAGAATTACCAGCTTAATAGAAAACAAATTGAGGTTTGGAGCAGAAGAATGAAAGAAGAAATAGGAAGAATGAAAAGGAAATTGCGTAAAAAGAAAATTGAAAAAGAAAGAAATCAAAAATTGAAGTTGAGAATAAAGTTGGAAGAGTTCCTTAAAAGAAAAATAGAAGAGAGAGTTTCTGCCGTCGAACAACAAATTGATGATAGGGTTTCTGCGTCGCCAAAGAAGTTGAAGCCTAAAGAATTCGTAGCGACGGCAGGAAGCAATTCTGAGGTTTTCAAATTTTTATCGATGCCTGCTCGTTCCGTTCTGAAGCTATCCACATATGATGGGAAGACATCCTGGCAAGGTGTATAAGACCACAATTTTCTATCGTTGGCGGATGCGAATGGATGGGATTCCCAAGCTAAGGCCTGTCATCTCGCCGCTTCTCTAAGAGCCGACGCAGCGGATATCCTTCAGACTCTTCCCGAAAACAAAAGACTTAGACTTCGAAGCTCTATCCGGCGCATTGGAGCTGCGCTTTGGCGAGAAATGTTTAAAAGACTACAGCAGGCTTCAATTAAAATCCCGTCAACAGAAGCCCACCGAAACACTTCAGGAGCTCGCCACGGATGTTGAAAGGCTGTCCCACCTCGCCTTTACGGAGTGCCCGACAGAAACAAGGGAAATCCTGTCCTGCAATATTTCATCGATGGCATCCGGGACCCTGAAATACAGAAAGCACTGCGAATGGCGGATGTAAAGGATGTAAAAAGCGCTCTGTTGTACGCCGTGAAATTGGAAGCAGCCCAGCAAGCAACTCTTAGGGATCGCTACCCAGTCAGAGCTGTGCGAGTCCACGACCCAGGGGACCAATTGATGGCTCGTTTAGATGATTTATCCAGACAAGTCGATGCTTTGATACGGAGTAGCAGTGAGAACAAAGTGGCTGTAAGATGTTGGAGATGTGGTTCTGAAGGTCACCTACGACGGCATTGCAGAACACCCCAGGGCACGGATAATAAAACGGATGAGTTGACAAGACCAGTGAATGCTTTAAGACGGAATAGTGGTGAAACAAAACCGACCCTAAAGTGCTGGAATTGCGGTGTTGAAGGCCACCTACGAAGGAACTGCAGAACTCCCCAGAGCACGGAAAATAAGGCATACGATTTAAACAGACAATTAAATGCCACGGGAAGGAAAAGGACTGACAAGAAACCAAAGTGCTGGAACTGTGGAGCTGAAGGCCACGTACGAAAGAATTGCAGAACACCCCAGGGTACGAAAATTGAGACAATTTCTGAGCAACGACGCAGGAAACAAATTAATGACCATATCAAGGAACGGAGGTTGCCAGATAATGAAAAACCCTGTTTTAAAGCGCTTAAGATCTCTATAGTGAGTGGCAACAATAACGGACTGTCCATCAATGGGAATATCGATGGAGTTCCTTGCAATATGATCATTGACACAGGAGCTAATGTTACCATCATTAGGAAAGATTTAGCTGAACAGTTTAAAGATAAACTTATTTGGACGCCATCCTGTGTTACCCTTCAGACTGCGTCTGGTGACAAGATCGACATAACTGGGAAGTTAAACGTAAACATCACGTTTGGAAGTGCCGCCTACCATCACACGGCATATGTGGCGGATATTACAGATCCATGCATACTCGGATTGGACTTTTTAAGGAAATACAATTTTTCCTTAGATTTCAAAAACAATAAGCTGCTTTCAGCATCTGATGGCATGACTATCCATCCTCAAAAGGGATCCTCGCCTGGAAATGTCGACGCCTTGTCCGAAAGATCGAGCTCGGGAAGCTGCCGAAATCATACCAGGGTCGAAAAGAAACTCAAGACTACCAGCTATTCTCCATCCCAGAAGCTCTTCGGTCGAGACCTTCGTCTGCCTTGTGACCGCCTGTTTAGTCGCCCTACGGATGCGCCTTCATCGCCTGAGGAACACATCCAAGATGCCCAGGCCCGGTTTGAGGGGATGCACCGTTCTGCACGAAAGCGAGTCAACTTGGCGACGGAGAAAATGAAGACCAGATGCGACACAAGAGCTACTAGACAGAGATCCAACAAAGGAGACAAGGTGTGGTTGTGGAACCCGATTCAACGAAAAGGACTGAGTCCTAAATTACAGTCACCTTCGGATGGTCCATATACAGTGCTGAACACGAATGACGTCGTGGTTCGGATCCGTGAGTCTTCGAACTCTTACGACAGGTTAGCTTATTACTATGGCCATAGTACGTAATGTAAATAATTGTAAATAGTATAAGACCATGGTCCTTTTTTGTTTTTTTTTAATGTGTATTTGATTTGCATTTAGTATTTGTATTTGATAGCATTTGATTTGTTTAAGTTAGTTATTGCATTTATTGTTTATATTGTTTGATATTGTAATGTAATGTTTATGCCTCAGTTGCATTTATGCCACAGTTGTAAGTTTAGCTTCCTGTCCAGGGATTGTACTGCCCGGGACGTGCAGTCCTTGGGAAGGGGGCAGTGTTACGACGAATTTGGTATTTAAAAAGCTAATGTTAGTTCAATTATAAATTAAATCGTTTTATTTCTCGCGCAGTGCAGCGCGTGACGAATATTAAAAGAAAACTACTGTGAGATATTGTAATACTGCATGATAATTTGAGAAAATTTAAGCATTTTTTTTTTTGTTGTGATAATAATAAATTTTTGTTCATTTTTCATCGGACTTGTGCATTCATTTCATAACGAACCCGTACGCACGCAACAATATATAAGAGATTCCGCTTTTAGAAGCACAGCATCAAACAGGTTTGATGCTGTGTAAGTTGCATTTATCAAAACATACCGAGAAATTTAAATTAAATGTGCAGATAATTCTCCATGAAATGTTCTACCCATAATATATACGACAACAGTTATCTACTCGCTTACATCGAGATTTCAATATTTATTTTTTTACTTATCATTGTCGACTTTTGAA